ACTCCCCCCCCTGCCGGGTCCATGGTGACCCTTTCTCTCGGGACATGGCCCCGCCCCCCCCCCCGCGCGCCCCCCCCCCCCCCCCGCCGCTCCTACGTCGCTATGTCGTGTACCCTCGAACGCATGCGGGATATAACCAACTACATGGGACACGTGAAGGCCCCCGAGAACGCTTATGGCTGTTTGAGGGGAGGGGACTGCAGGGTATTATGGATGGATGGGTGGATGAGTAGGACCTTGTCGGCCTGGATAGGAAGGACTGGGAGAGTAGGTTGAATGTGACTATAGTATGTCGTGGGTTATGGTGCTGGTATATATGGGTGTGGTCATGGGTATGGTCCTTGTGGGAAACATACCTAAGGTAATAAGTAGTGTGTGTGAGCTGTCTGATGGTCGTACAACTGGGAAGAAGGGACATATATGCTTGGGTAGGGGTTTATTCTTGGATGTAGCATGTATGGGTTATTTTAGGTAGGTAGGTACCTACCTATTAGCTCGTCTACGGACTGAAGCGATTACTTGGCAGGAAGCAAAATAAGTCATAGATAGGTTAAGTAGGTAGTGAAGGCGAGATGTTTACGTGGAAGATTATGTAGCTAACTGATTCATAACTATCCCGTTTTTCTCGGGAGTAGCTCAAAAGATAAGTCGTATAGTATTCAAGCAATTTCTCGTTGCTAGATCGAGACGCTGATGATAGCCTTCCGACCAATCTTGACCTCCAAGGCTACGGGAGAACACAACTCCAAACCAGGACGACTGGAAGTCGGGCATTTGAAACCTTGCCCCATACGTAGATGCTCTACATGTAAATAGTAACTCGCCTAGGCTCTCCTCTGGCACTTATTCACATACTTTCTTTGTCACTTTTTTCCTCAGTCTTTGCCGTACATCTGCAAATACGTCGCCTGTAGTCGCATCTGTAGGTGTTCGTTCGCCGTCAAGACCTTCTTACTATTGCTATCTAAGCCCTGGTTCCGGGCGGTATCATTCTCGTTTTCGCTTGCCGCCTTGACGCGCTCGCTTGGAACGGGCGTCAGCAGCGTGTCGTTAGCCGGATGGCAGAAGTAGACAACTGAGTACCGCGGGTCGGCGGTGGACTCGCCGGCCGCTAGGGCCTCTGGTGCTGAGGGAAAGGCGACGCGGTGGACTGGTGATGAGTGTCAATGATTACTACTTCTAGTAAGGGATTTATGACGCCTTATCTAGCTCGACGAGGAAATACTAGTTCATAAGACAGGACGATAAGGAGAGAGAGGAAACCTCGATGCTACATACCAGTACTGCGGAGCAGCCCGTTAGTCCAGTACGAGAGCAGATCGCCGATGTTGACAAGAATAGGCGGCGGCGCGGCGGCGTCCTCGTCCTTGCCACTACTAGGTGGATCGACGGGGACAGGGGCCCAGCGGCCGGTGCGAGGCTCGAGGATCTCGAGACCGGCTTGGCCACGCAGTCTGAACAGAAGAGTGATAGACCCGTAGTCCGAGTGCGCACCCGCGCGCACGTCATCGGGGTGCGCCTCGGGTGTCCTGCTGGGCGGTGGGTAGTATAAGAACCGCAGGATAGAGCCCGACGGCAGGACGGGATTGTGCGCGGCAGAGAAGAACTCCGGGGGATTAACCTGGGGTAATTAGAAAGGGGGGCCCGGACGGAGTAAGGGGTTAGCGCTTACTCCTAGTCCGATGCCGAAGAGTAAGAGTAACTTCCGGCATAGCTCGTGACACGCATCCCGGAAAGCGGCGAGCTCTGCTTGATGCGGCTCGATGCTCTGCGGGATGGGTTGTGTGGCCTTGCTGTTAGCAAAGGGGCCGAAGTTGAAGCCCCTTAAGTGGTTCGGGTCAGCCTCGGTGTCCCTCTACTATGTGCGTATACTGACTCTTTAAAGTCTCCTACCTAGAGAACAGGTGTTAGATTCGGTAAGTCAGTCGTAGTCAGGAAATGTGGTTACAGCTTACTCTCTGAGTTTTGGGGTCTAAGGTCTCGGTATGCATGCCGGACCACCCCTGATTATTTTTCTCGATCTTGCATCTCTGCTTGTCCTCGAGAGGCGAGTCGAATAAGATGCGCGACTATATATGTGAGATAGTCCATCACTATTCATTGCGACTCTTGTTGAGACCAAAATATCGACTACCTACCAGGTTGAAAGCATTATCTATTTGCTCAGCCGAAATATCTTGACTCTTGATATAGACAAAGCCATAGTCAATTGCGGCATCTACCAACTCCTTGGCGACTTGGGCTTGGTCTGCACCTTTGGCTGAGATGTCGATGACGGGAAGTGTTGCAGCTTTGGTCATGATTGGTAGTCCAAAGACAAAGGACGATAGTTTCCTTAGGTAGGTAGATTGAATTATTTTGCTGGCAAACCTTGGTCGAAATTCAAGGAAAACTCAATTCTTATCAGATGTTGCAAAGTAGGACACCTACCTACATGTAGGACTACATGTACTTTGTCTCACAAGCCAAATGTCTATTTGATGGTTTCTTCTAAGGAACTTTCTACATGTACATAAGGTTGACAAGGTTTAGTTACAACTGGTACATCATCCGAGGTACACGGATTGGCAAGGTTCTTTGACGATAAGCCGATAGATAAGATATAGTATCCGATAACCCGTTCCAACTCTGCACATACCAAGGTACAGGTACAGAATCGTCACACGAAGATCAATGCAATTACCTAGATGTATTACATAACCCGTCTCTTTTAAGCTCTAGGCGGGGTGACAGTAGCAAAAAAAAATAACCCAGTTCAGGGGTCCCATACAATTAGGTACATAGCGTCGCTACCTTTACCAGGCTAGTGGCACAACCCTTGTCCTACCTGCGCGAGGCTTTGACCTTTGGATCGTGCCTCACCTTTCAAGTTCGAACCTCACCATCGGTAAGGTTCTCCAACAGCAGCTGCAGCCGTAGGAACAAGGTGCACCTTGCCTTATCACCGCACTGCCTCTCTCTTCCCGCCCCTACATACTACATAGGTAGTTACTTCTTCTATTTATGTTAAGCTCAGTCACTCCTTTTAATACCTGTCAGCCCCACCTGTCCTCTTTCTACCTGCCTGCGATTTTGAGCCGCGAGCTCTGCTTTCCTCACTTCGACGTTCATCATAGTAAACCGACAATACCCAAGATCCTAGATCCCAGATACATCCATACACCAGGCAAGAGCGCTTGATCTTGCGCAAAGTATATTTCAAGATGCCCAGTAAGTCTTACCTGTTATTCCTCTTCTACGGCCTGATGGGATATTGTGTTCCTGCTTCGGGTACCGTTTCTGGTGCATCTTTCTCCTTCGCACCTCTTTGCACACATTCGCATACCATTCTACGGCCTTGAATATCGCTGTCGCTTATACGGCCTGTTGTTGTTGTTGTTGTTGTTGCCGTTGTTATATCCGACTTTACGAATTTGCATATTCGATTGCCTAGCTACGTACCTACTACGCAACCACCATGCTTGAATTAGACGAGGTGGATGTTACAGTCCCGTTTGGCGTGGCTGATTTGAATCGGGCTTTTGAATGGCTTCGCCAACAAGGGCTGCTTGCGACTATTAGTTGTAGTCCCGTTCGCGACCCCAAGCCTAAGGAAAACGAGTGGTGGAAGTCATTGGCGAGGAACCGTGGAACTCTAAATGGTACTTCATAGAAAGACCATGATATTTTTCTTCATTTACCATATTGCTACTACTTTATGTAGGTCCGTCGCTAATTGATTGGCCTTTATAGGCACTTTTGAGGATCATTGGATCAACGAGCAAGTGGCGTAAGCAGCAACACCTACCACTATGTCAATATTATGAAACTAACAATCTTGTAGGTCTGCCGAAGTCTCTCAGCTTGAGGACTGTGCTATTGCGGTTGATGCCTCCTACTATTTGCAACTGTTCCTCGACAACGTTCCTTATCACGAACCGCTTCTCCCTGCCCTCGGCGGCTTGACCGGTATTCAATCGCACATCGAACATGATCTTGACAGCTGGAAATCCAACAAAACCATCCCCTTCTTCATCTTCAACGGCCAGTCCATTGAAGGCGAAGATGACGTTTCCGTCCAGAGAGGAAAGAGAGCCATTGCAGGCACTGACGAGGCTTGGGGTCTCTATTTCCAAAGTCAGGCTAATGAAGCCGTGACTGCCTTTGGCTCCCATCGAGGTACGGCCGTCATAATTATGCTATAGCTCGGACATGTTGCTTACATGATATAGGAGCTTACCTTGTCCACAACTTATTTCCACTGCTACAAGGTATCCTCAAGCGTCGTGGGCTCCACTTCTTAGTCCCCCCTTTTAACGCCTCCGCGCAAGTGAGTTATCTATCTCTCGTGTTGAGATCCTCCAGCTGATAAATTTAAAGTTGGCCTACTTTGACATGATCGACTCAGAGCAGTGTTCAGCTATCATGGGCTCCCAGGAACTGTTACTTTATCCAATCAAGGATCACATTATTCGATTCATCGACTGGGATGCCGGCACATTCACTGCCATCTCCAAGAAGGGTATCATTAGAACTCTGGGCGTAACTGAGGCTCTATTTATCGACGCACTGCTGATGGCGGGAACAACTTTTCTCCCTACGTTCCCCCCGTTGAAAGAGCCTCAAATTACCGCTCGCCAGCCACCATCCGTACAGGACGCTGTTAACATGCTGCGGACCTCGGAAAAGTCAGTCGCGAATGCGTGCAACTCATTCAACGACATTCTGAGTAAGAGTAGAGATTCGAACTGGTTACAGAAGTACCGCAAGGCTAGAATGAGCATCGATCACTTCATCTACATTGAAGAGTCTGGAGAAATCAAGGTCCATAACTTCGATACGCTGACTCGAGACAACTGGGAATATCTCGGCTATCAGTTGCCAGCCGAATTATTTCACTACCTGAACACGGGTCTTATCGGAGCACGCATGCTCGGCTGGATTTCTCACGGCCAGATTGTCATCCATCCAACTCTAGACGGAGTTAAATCGGAAGAATATAAACATCTAGTGACGAGCCAGCTAATGCCTTTGAGAGAGGCAGCTCTTAGCCTTCTACTTCCTCGACTACACAGAGGTATACAGTATAAGCCGATTGCCGTGAAGGTCTGGTATGATGAGAAGTATTCCCACAAGATCGAGTACCGTCCCCAAGAGAACCAGGCGTTGAATAAAGCGCATACTTGGAACCTCAGTAGCGCTGTTGCAAAGAAGTACTACCCCGATGCCAAGCATGGTTCTATCCTCTTTGAAGTAGCAGCACTAAAGAATCCCGATTTCGCCAAGAGTACCATTACCAAGGACAAGGTCAAGGGCATAGCCTCTGCTGGTTTGATATCGTCGATCACGCTCTGGCGCTTCCTCCATCTGCGTGGCTACGTAGACGATTCTCACCAACTTACATCCTGGGGCCAAGCTTTAGCAACATCTCTCGAGGCACTCAAGGCTACTGTTGAGAAGCATAGCCAGGTTCCCGGCTTATACGAAGCGGTTCTTTTAGCTTATGAACTTCTTAGGTTTAATTTACTTAATACCCGGAACCAGCATCCAGAACTAAACGGCTTGCCTATGAACGGAACCGATGATGACAAGGCAAGCCTATTACTAATCAGCCGTTGCGCAATTCTGTTGAAGCTGCGTCACCAAGCAAATGGTTATACCGGTCCGCTCAGCAAGAATTTCTTGTGCTTCCGATCGTTGAGTTCATCTATTCGAGAGACCGACAGAGATCTTATCGAAGCGATTGTGGCGTCCATGCTACTATTTGCGCAGACGGAACGAGAACGTGACGACTATTTGGAGATTGGTCAAGGGTTCGTCTTCGTGATTCGTGAGATAATGATGAATTGTATGCTAATTTCATATAGACTACCCTTTTTGAATGACACGGATGTTGCTCTTGGCATTGCTGTCAAGACACTGCTTGACGATATTCATCCTAATGAGACCCCCGAACAGAAGGCAGTAAAGAAGCAAGAGTTCCCTGGCACATTCGTCCCATATGCGACTCACTTCTTCGAAGATCTGGAGATAGCTTTCAACTTCTTCGACGCCATCCACGCAGGTGTCAAGACGCTTAAGAGTGAGGTTTCTGCCGCTGACCGAAGCGCGTGGGATAAAGCTGCCGTGTATCTTCAACTACGACGATAAGCTTATGCCAATCATCGTATAACTAAATATTTCAACAATTCCTATCAAGAGTCCTCACCATTAGTCATACGAGAGATGATTGTGAAAGGGGAATTGCGGGTGAAGTAGACATTTGACTGGCGGACGAAATCCCGACGCTACTTGGCTTGTTAATTGCATATGCTACTTGGTCTATTAGCTCCCTTCGCCTCAACCCTCTATTAAATCATTTGATTTGGTAAGAATTGCTGTCTTCGAGGACACGGCAGCCCACCTATATATGACGTTGACGTATTTCAATACCCTTCCGGTTCCCGCAAGGCGTTTTTGGTCGGAAAAAAAAAAGAAGGGGGAGGTCTACTACTTCAGAGGCCTTTATCTCTGGTACCAAGTCACAAGTCTTTTAACCAACCTGCGGAGAGGGTCATTAGGTGGCTACCATGTAAGTTTTGCAGGCGGAAGTGGTCAGGAGCTCAAGAGATGGATGATCCCCATTGCTAGGTAGCTAGTTAAACCTACTAGATAACAAAAAATTAAGTATCAGCATATGCAGCCTAAGCATCCCGTACTCTTTAGATTGTAACTCTTGTTCTAAGAGGACTTCTAATATTAATGTTGTGCCTAGAAGGATATTTAGCGATGACCATCTTATAAAGTAACAAACCTCTTTGAGTAAAATAAGCTCTTCTAGAAAGGGGTTGGGTCAGCGGAAAGAAACATACGTATCAATTGTTTCTATTTTCTGAAAGTGTTGTAATCGCACCCCTTGCTCTCTTTCATCGACCTAACCCAATACCCATCCTACAACAAACTGCAACACTGCTGGGTTGGAGTACATGCTGAATGGTCTTGTGGTGTAGACTAGCTTACTACGTGTAGTATGGAGTAGCAGCGTAGTGGACTAGAGTTAGAAGATGGAGGAAGGTTAGGGGTGATTGGAAGAGTAGGAGGATTATTAGGGCCAGGATTGCATTTTCGGAGACTTGTTTAGGTGACGGGTCTTGAAATAGAGGGCTAGTATAACACCTACCATACTTCCCTAGGTAGGTACCTAACCTATATAAGAAGGGTGAGTGAAGGAGAGTGTACTTGGTTCTATTGTGGGCATCTTGCCCCTGGTGTTTTTATTTTCCTATCTTTTTATTTGTAGACATGCTGTTCTGGACCATCATGGACAAACTATGTTACCTACTGCGATTGAATGTTAAGCCATGATATTCCCTAAATGAACAGGCATTCACGAGTAAATAGATTGGATCTCCTCGAAAAGGGGTTGTGAACAAACCTAGTTGGACTACAAAAGGTTCTGGTAGGAATGTTAGTGAAAGTTACGTGATGTGAATCAACACCAATTATTACTATCACGGAGTTCACAGAGCATCAAAATCATGGACAGCGTAATTTCAAGAAGACATCGAGAATATCTCAAATGCAATCTCATTTTTTATTTTCCTTTCAGTATCAGTTGCGATCATTCATCATTAAACTCAATCGTACCAAAAAAAACAACAACAAATGCAAGTAGCTAAGTACAGTAAGGCATCGCAGGGTCGATTCGCAAATCAACCATGTGCAACTATGTGCAGGCGTATGCCAAGCTCGGAGCTCAGAGTGAACCTCGTCCTAGGTATCATACGCAAGAGACGGGTATAGACAAGATGCCTCTCAGGTGAGGGCAAGTCATAAAAAACGCAAAGTACCTCTTTGACGGACTATTAAAAACACACGCACAAAATGCCTCTCAGGCTCAGAGATTGTCTCCGGAGAATCGAAAAAACACACAAAATGCCTCTCTCAGGCTCAAGTATTGCCTTTCAGGTGAATCATAAGAAACACAAGGCGTATATCAGGCTCAAAAGTGCCTAGGTAAGTTGCCGAAAACACAAAGTGTCTTCCTCGGACTCGGAAATTGCTTTCGAGTGAATCATAGAAATCACAAAGTGCCTCTTGGGCAGATCATGATCAACGCAAAATGCCACACGGGCTCAGAGATTGCATCGTAGAAGTATTAGAAAAACGCGCCAAATTTTTGTCGGATGAGTTGCAAGGAAAACACAGATTGCCTCCTGGGGCATATTATTGAAGGTTGAAAACACAAATTTCACCAACGCCAAGCAACCATGTCAAATGCAAAGGGGTATCATCCGTCCGTTGTGAAGGTTGGTTGTGAATGTCGTCTCATGTCAAGGTCTCGTCTCATATCCAGGCTCCGATTGTCGATAATTAGGAACCTCAAACGCAAAAAAGAAAGAATCGTTGTGCCGTTGATGTTTATGCAAGAGTATGGATCTATTGTAGGGTGTCGCGCTCCTTAGGCTCCGGCACTGCCTCAACATCAAATTGCATCTCCTGGCTTTGAAGTTGTGTTGCCTGATCTTCAAGTTGTGACTTCTGTCCTTGAGGCTTTGATCTGCGACTTTGACGTTCTGCCTCTAGTCTCTTCTTGCATTCTTCTTCGTCTCGACTCTCCAGGGCTGCAGTATATCGACTGATCTTCTTAAGTAAAAAGCTGTGTACAATGTTAAATAACAAAATCTAATCGAAAGGTAAGGAAGAATAACATACCCAACAGGGAGACCACCTGTTATGAGAGACTCCTCGCGAACTATGTTCTGAAGATTCAACTTCTGCGATGCGTATTTCTTGGTTCGAGCGTCCTTATGATGCAATTCATAATGGGGCATGATAAGGGCTTCAGCATCATCTTCATTGTCAGCGTGAACGACGAAGTCGCAACCACTTTCTTCGCAAAACCATGCATCGTCCACACCATTTCTATTGGGCTTCGGAGGCTTGGTTGAATGGCCAACTGTACCGGTTGTCAGGGCATCTTCATCTTCTGCGTTGTATTCGTTGCCTGATGAAGTGGTTGCCTCACGTTCCTCGTCGTGCTCATCGTGGTCGTCCTCCGTAGAAGAATAACGTGACTTCTTAGATGCATTCTTCTGCGGTCCGTCCTCGTCCAGCTCCATTTCGTCACCAAGGCCGAAATCTTGTCGTAGTCGTTTCTTGCCTCCAATAGAAGGACGCAGGCCTGCTACCTTACCGCTGGTGCGAGCTCTATTGGGGGGTTGCTGTCCTTGGACCTTCTCTTCCTGATATTCCATGGCTGCTGGGAGCTCGTGGGAGGGTTGATTCAAGTAAGAAGAACGACTTGCGCGAGAAATACGACTTGAGTAAGAAGATGGAGTCGCGTGGGGTGGTTGGTTTGGGACAGAAGATTGATTTGCGTAAGGCAGATCCTCGTAAGGTAGATGCTCGTAAGGTTGGTCCTCGTAGGAAGATTGATCGTTGTGGGGAAGTTGATTTTTCTTCTTGCGTCTGACAATATTTTTCATCCGCTCTTCAGACAAGTCCTCGAAGCTAGGTTCTACGTCGACGTTTTCCTCCAGCCACGTGTAAAATTTGCTGGAGTGCCACTCTGGTCCAAGGAAACGCAAAAGGTCCCGTGCGTGGTATATGCAGACCTGAGCTAGTGCACGAGGCTTTTTGACACTTAGTCCACGATAAAGTTTAGTGTGCCAGTTGCTGGCAGTCACCTCATCAGGGTGCTTTGTCTTATCACCTGGAAGTGAGAGTAGGTCCTGCCGGTAATCTTGCAAGACTCCAATGATAGCAGATACGGCCGCACTGGGTTCTCCAAACGAACGTGGGTCAAGTTGCTTGTCCACGTTATGGTATTCTCTTGGCCGGTTATATTTGGTGCGGAAACCAACCACAATTAGATCAGGGTCAGAACTATCGGCAGGCTCAGGCAGGGTATTCACAGGTAGCTCCTGTTTGATTACGGTAGGCTGGACTGATAGACGTTTTGAAGCCTCTATCGTCTCGGCCACTTGACGTTCGATATCCTCGCTATCTCGTTGAAGTCTTGAGGTAGAATTTCGCAACGAAGGCCTACCGCTTTTCTTATTGTTGGTGACTTCGAGAGAACTAGACTTCTCTTGATCTCGATACGGAACTGCGACTAGTGTGCTAGGTTCTGAGCTTGTAGCTGCCTTCGCATCGCTGGACTCCTTCGCGGCAAGTTGTTGCACAATGTCCTGTGTGTTGGGTTAGACAATGGTAGTCGAAGATTAACTTGAGATAGCCTTACAGGGTATTCTTCCGCCAAGGTGCGGTGGAATTCAGTGTCTTTAGGAAAATGACAAAGTAAGAAAATAGCCTGATCCTTGATCCGTTGCGAGGCCTCGGCAGACGTGATACCATCGCCGACGTTTACTGCATACTGCAAATCAGGTCAGATACATATTCAAAGAGCCAAATTTACATATGCACACACCTTAATGAGAACGTCGTTCAAGACCAACTTGACGTCACTAAGTGTCTTATTCCTATTTTTCTTTGTCTTTTGAAGCTTCTCTAGTGCAACTTCGTACTGATCTAGTATCGCATAGTGAAGAGAAATGCCCTGAAACATAGTGTTGCATATGTCCTTATACGCATCAGACGGGACAATCTCATACCAACCTGCTCCGCCACTAGCCCACAGTACCGGCATGGGAGGCCTATCTTCTTTGAGGCCGATCGAGAAGGATAATGTATCCTGAAGTTGGATATATGGTGAACGGTTCTTCATGTGTCGATTGATAAGGAATCTTTCTTGATCCTTTTCAATTTCAAGCTTTCCACGAACAATCAACGGACCTTCCAAATCAACATGCAGCAGGTTTGCCAAGGTGCCATCCTTATGGAATATCGTGGCGTTGGTAAGTAGAAAACAGGGCCAGTCGTCGGTGTGGGCACGAGCAGAGACAGGCTTCAATACAGAGTCTTCTCTATAGTATTCTAAGGCAGTTTCGTCAACGGTTTGGACCGTTGAGTCCGACTGCTTTCTTCCCCAATGAGCATCCATGATCGCAGGCGAGTCGGGACTCAAGGGATAGAATAATGGAATCGGTTGCGCACGATGGTATGAAAGAGGATTGATTTATCTCGTATCAGGTAAATCGGTAAATCGGTAAATCGGTAAATCGGTGAATTGTTAGGTAAAAAGAGAAGTAACGCGATACCGGCGCGCATTAATTCATATTGAAAACCCGTTACGGTTTCCCTACTAAGGGGAGTTGAGGTTGTTGTTGTTATTGTTTGCGACGAAAAGAAAGTGAATAGGTTAGGTAGCTAAAAAGATCTACGGCTGACGGCAATTGGTAAATATTTTAAGATTTACCAAGATTTACTAAGGAAGTCGGGACGCGCTTCGGCAGCAGTAGCACGCGTATCGTACTTGCCGTTAATTGAGAATACTAAGGTAGTGACACATTAGTGCAGCTACCAGCCGGCGTAGGCCCTATCCAGGTGGGTTGCGTTAGGTTGCGTAAGACTTGACCAATGACGTCGAGAAGTATTGATGGTGGGGTTATCTAGGATGGTTTTAGTTGCAGTAGCTAATCGATAAGAACTGCTATTCTTTGGATTGAACCTTGTCGATTAACTATATCCTCTAGCAGCTCTTCGAATTTTTTTTCCTGGCCCAAGTTCCGTTCTCCAGACCCTTGCACTATCCTTCAATCAAATTCAACAACCTTCATTTTGCGCCTCACCTGAAGGCAGCTCACAACCCGTAAAGACTGACAAGTCTCTAGATTGAATTCGCTATATTAAATGGTCTTATCCTTTTTTTCAACGCACATCACCCACGAATGAAAGCTGCCAGATTCGCCAGAATGGCAGCTTCTAGCACTGTCCTCGATGGTGTCTTCGGTATGGATTCTCAATTTACTCTTACCTACTTAAATTATACTTTATTTTTTCCACGTTTATGCTAACATTATTGTCTCTTATCGCATAGGCATCAATAAGCCTATGGGTATGAGTTCCGCTCAGGTTATTAGGGACTGCCAACATCACTTTAACCCCTCTACATTTTTCAAGCCAATGATAGATCAAGAGAGGGCAGCTAGGTCGCAAGAGTCTAATACTAGACGAAAGCGACGTGGATTTGGCAAGAATGACATCCGAGTCAAAATGGGCCATGGTGGTACACTTGACCCGCTTGCCACTGGGGTTCTGATTCTGGGTGTTGGTAAGGGTACTAAGTCTCTCCAGTCTTTCTTGGACTGTACCAAAACATATGAGACTGTGGTGCTTTTTGGTGCCAGTACCGATACGTATGATAGGGTCGGTAAGATCCTCAAGAAGACAGCATATGACCATATCACTCGGCCTATGGTTGAAGAGGCACTCAACTCCTTCCGCGGAAAATTCCAACAGATGCCACCTCTTTATTCAGCATTAAAGATGGAGGGAAAGCCTCTTTATGAATACGCGAGAGAGGGTAAGCCGATCCCGCGAGAAATTGCGACTAGAGAAGTAGAGGTGACTGAACTCGAATTGGTCGAATGGTATGAACCTGGTCAACATTCCCATCGCTGGCCTGCTGAGGAAGCCACCACATTTGAGCGCAACTTCGCCGAGCAGGTCTGGAAGATCGAAAAGCAGCAGATGACTTCTAAGAAACTTAGCCCTGAAGAAGAGGAACAAGAGACGAAGGCTTTGAATGAGCATGAGAGCTTCAAACGAAAGTCTGACGAGAACGTCGACGCGCTCGTGTACGACAGGGTTAACAAGCGTCGGAAGACTTCGCAGCATGCACCGTTGATGTCGGGTGCACTGGGTGACCTTCCTCCAGCGACCCCCAAACCGGGAAAGGGATCAAATCTGATCCCTGAAACTTCGGATACTGACACACCTCCACCTTGGGAGGACAAAGGTCCACCAGCAGCAAGAATTCGAATGACTGTAACTTCAGGCTTTTATGTCAGGAGTTTTTGTCACGACCTGGGTGTAAAGATTGGATCTGCGGCAATGATGGCAGAGCTTTGCAGAAGTCGGCAAGGAGATTTTGTCCTGGGTAGCTCAAATTGCTTAGAATATTCGGATCTGGCAAAGGGAGAATCCGTATGGGCTCCTCAAGTGAAGGATATGTTATCTCAGTGGAACAGCAAACCGCGCGGCAAGTCCTCCGAGCCAGCTCTAAGAGCTAAGCCGGTCTTGCCAGTAGCCAATAATGGGAAACGAGATCGATCTGCGTCTCCAGTCAGGTCCAAGGAGCCTAATGACACGAACATCTCAAAGGATATATTATCAAGTAAGAAACCAACACTACCAACTCCAAAATCTTCTTCTCCAACCCAAGATGTCAAATCTGAGGAAGTAAAAGGCGCAAAGTCGCAAGAGACAAAGGGGGGTGATGGCTCAGCAGACCTAGCACAAGCTGCCCCGGCTATAAGCTTACCTGTGTCTCAAGAAATCGCCAAATCGGATATCAAGAGCAAAGATGCAGATGAGGAATCCTGGAACGGGTTTCCCGATACCCCCGCTGCCGTGAAGGCGTAGGTATACTTTGGCTATCTGGAGATTTGGCTTAAGTGGCTTTGATATATTGTTTCTTACACGGAGACACGTATAGAAACAGCGTGGCGTTATTCACGAGAGACGTATTTGTTTTTTGTTGCATCAGCTGGGCGTCGGGGGACTTGCATATAACCAAGCGACTCAAAACTAGGCAATGTATATATCTGGCTAAGTTTTCGAGATATAACAGAAATCGACTCAGCGAATAGTTTCGGTAGTAGTATGAAATGGATACAGTCCTAACTCATTATATACGTTGGCGGGTAGGCGAACTAGGAGTGAACCAAAGTGACCCTTGTGACGATGTGATCAGTGTTGATTAGCGTATAAAAATAGGTAAGTGAGTGATGAATGGCCGAGAATAGGTGTTGTCTATGACTTGACTGTATATTGAATTATGCGTAGAAGAGGAAGGTGATAGTAGGTAGGTACGGCTACCAAGAATAGAGAAGTTGAATTGGCCCGCTTATATGAATGAAGAGACTGATTACCTGAAATACTGAAGCGATGTAGTTGGACCGAAGTATAGATAGGTGTGGACTGAAAATGAGGCTCATAGATTTGATATTTTATCCCGCGTAATTACTAGACATACTACTCTGAAATGTAAATACCGCAAGATAAATATTACCATCACCACATGAACTAGTCACTAATTTACACGAACGCTTCAGAATGTACGTTATATTTAACTATACGCAAGGCCTAGTCTCGTCTCACAAGAACTAGCCCGGTCCAGAAGAGCTCATATACTGTACTATACTGTAAGTATGACAATTGACAACGATAGCAAACGAGTCTATTTCGTTCGTTCTACATCATCGTCGTCTATCATTCATGAGCGGTCGTGATCATTAGATATTACCTAAAAACCCAATGGGCGCGGGGGCCTTCTATTCCTTACCCTTTAACTCGGAGCGCCGCTAGAACTTGATAATATCGTGGCCAAAAAATCGATGCATCCATCCGTAATCCCAAAATCTTAATCCAACAACGGCCGAACTCGATCGACAAATAATCTCGCGTTTGAGAGCCCCGGTCTTCACAACGCTCTGAACGAAATGGTAGGTATCTATAAGAATGTAAAGCGGCGTCGAAGTTTCCGTCGGGGATATCTCGTTTATCCTAAACCGTAGGCAAGCCTCCGAAATCCGCGTGTTCGTGCGTCTACGCAATGCTTCTTCCGCGCATATATCAAGAATTGAAATTGGTGTGTTCGTAACTCGGGTTCCGCCGTGGTCTCGGGGGTTTAACTCAGAAAGAAGTAGATTCCGCAGGCGGGGACAAGCTCTTCTCCCATTCCTTGATGAAGTTCGACGTCGTGTTCTTAATGTTACTGGGAGTCAGTCGGTTGAGGATGGCCTGTGGTAATTCTTCTAGCCTACTTGGAGTCTCTGGGGATGGCGATCGTAACTCGCTACGGGATTGCTTGCATCTCCTGTTGCTGCGGTTAGATACGCTTTGCATTCCGGGTGTTGGGTGGGCTGAAATGGGTCAATGGTGTGCCTTGCACAGTGTGTTGGTTGTCTTATTAATGATTGTCTTACAGTGTCCCCTCATTTTCGCCAATTTTCTCAGGAATCGCGGTGATATCCCCATTTACAGTGCTACCGCTCCAGCGGGCTGTCTTGACGTTTGGCGTATCCCAGTTCGACCAATCCTCGTCATCAAAGCTATCAAATGAGAGTGGTGTCCAGGAGTAATGCTTTCGCGCTTTAGGTTCTACCTTCGATATCGTACGTCTGTGCTGTAAACGGTCGCTGAAACTACTGGTGGATTGTCTGCTTGGTGTCTCCGATGCCGAATCAGACTCGTCTTGGAATGGCATCTTGCCACGGCTCGATGTAGACGCCCGAATAGTATCTTGCTCGCTCTCTGTTCTACCTAGCCTTGAAACCATATCACTTGTCCTATTTGTTGTCCCGGAAATCGCTTCATCCCCCACAGTTGCTTGCCTTAAGTCCTCAACAAATGTCCAGAGGCCTTGCTTAAAATCGTTTGCGATTTGCTTCATACCATTGGTCGGTTGACTTTGACGGGGAGCCCAAGTTGCGCGCTTGTTAATAAGAGGAGTAGAGACAGGCGACATTCTCGAGTATAGATCAGCTGATCGCGGTACGTCATCTCCGCTTGGAGACATCGTAGGTGAAAGTAAGGATAAAGTACGAGTATGTCCGCCACGGATAATTGTCCTCTTGGTGTCTCGAGGTGCCGCCTTGCTCTGCGCAAGAAGGATAGCTTTCCTACGCTCCAGTTCACTGGTGTATCTAACAGTTGTTGGATCATCGTGACTCCATTGCCCATCTATTAGAGATGCGGTTCGAAGAGGTTCAATATTTCTAGCAGATGCACGCTTCTTATAACCATCTGACGCTGTCCAGTGCTTCTTCAGTCTTCTGAGGTCGTGCTCTGCTCGCCCTAGCTCTTCGCGAAGTTCTAGCACGCGACGCTCCTGAGCGGCGATAGCGATAATGAAATCATTAGCGTCGGTAGGCTGGTTTGATGCCGACGTCTGGATTGGAGTTGGCGGCACGGAGGAGGTGGGTGTGGGCCTCGAGGGGATACTATCAGGCGGCGCGATCGGCAAAGTTAATGATAATCGATTTGAATTTCGTGATGTTGTCGAGGTAGAACGAGTGGACCTCGTCCGAGATGTCTCACTTAGATATGGTGGAGAAGGCATCGAACTCGAGTATGTGTCCCCGTCCGCCGCTCCGCTTTCTCCAGTACTCTCTGGATAGCCATCTGCAGCACGTGGCGATGTTGGAGCCGGGCCACTAGTAGAGTTTACACTGGTAGCCATATTAGGGGTTGAGGTTAGAACCGCGTCTAGCGAAAGAGCGGAATCCTGTAGACCGCGAGTCATGTTTGACCCGGTAAAAGGTTTGATAACTTTGTGCGATGAACGAGAGTATGAAAGTTGTGCGATGAAGTTTTCCGTTGACCGCCGGTTTAGTAAAGGAGTGGCTGGGGACGAGATGGCACGACGATGCCTAGTCCTCCCGATAAAAGAGCGTCTAGAATATAAAGCAGAAACTATATTGTTAAGCCTCTTGTCATTGAAGAGAGGGTTGGAACGAGTAGTTATTAAGCAAATTTGTAGAAGTTGAGCGGGTTTCATAGACATAAGAATACATAATCCACCCAGAGGCAGATGGGGATCAAAATTCAGGGCGGAAGACTGGAGCTCGTTTGAGAAGCTGGGAAATTGGGGGGTACGCAGCACCACACGGACTTTGCTGTAATAGGAGAGTCAATGGAAGTAACCTGTATGCGTCGTCCGGGGGGGTTGTAGCTGGACCTTGTTAGGCGGCGAATGATAAGTGAATGTACTGGGGTTGACCAGGGCCAAGGGAGCCCATATCTTCCAAAAGAGGGATAGGATTAGAAGTTTATGGAATAGGGTTGGAATATGATTATACACTAGTTATGCTGTAAAAGAATGTTGCAGTTTGAAGGATTGAAAGTTCGAAGGATCGAACAGTTAAAAAAGCAGGTCAGTTGGTCAAAAGATAGAAAAACGAGATATGTTTTTATTATTAGGTAAGTAGGAAGATGAGAAGGATAGCAGCAGGGAATTTGATGGCAAACGGAATCGGGTCTGAGGTTTGCTTTAATTTCATTTCATTGCCTTTATTTTGGGCTGGTTGTTTCTCTTAATCCCCGGTCAACAAGACGGAGAGACCCCACAATACCAATCGTCCGCTCATCTCACGGCTGCATGGGCTGTTTTGTGCATTCAGGGGCAAGACGTGGGTAACCGTTGACGAGGGCTTGGATTGCCAGTCAACTGCGGAAAATTGCAAGAGTTTTGATTGGGACGATGTTTTTGGCCCGCAAGTCCCGATCCTGCATAGACTAGGTAAATAAATGACGTCCCTTAGCGAGTGGAGATTTCAGTGCTGCTATGCTTCAAGTACCGTAACACGCACACGGACATACACGTGTAACATCAAATGGCCAGTTTCATTTAGAGGTGCTCAGGTATATACCTAGGTACATTATGTAAGTACCTACATGTAATCTTCTAACACAACCTAAAATGTCTCACGTGAACACCCGTGGGCCATGTCGCGTCGCACACACACGTATCCTTCATTCCGAATAAAGCGCGATAAGGTTTGTGCTTGTAAGTACCTAGGTGTCTGCACAATTCAATATTGGTCTTTGTGACACTTTAAACAATCTACAATCGAGAAAACTAAGGACGTCAGGCATCACAAGGCTGTTCCTTCTTACATGTCAGAAACAATGCACTCTCTACTGCCTATGAATATGAGCATATAATCAAGAGCATATGATTATGAAGGTTGATTATTTCTTTCCGTAGTTATATTTTTATTGCGCGAGGAGCCGTATTCTTTTTTGCATATTTGCACTTCGTCTCTTTATATACAAATTACCGCGGTTGCGATGCCCTTTCCATACAAATATATATGCGATCTACTCCAACAACTTGACATTGAGTCTCGCAAAGATGAGCATAAACAGACTCCTGCAAGGAGCATAATCGAAACGTGGTTTCGTGAGCATCGTTCGAGTCTTGATGCATCCGAGAATGATCCAAGCGCCATATTATCCACTTTACTACCAGAAAGAAGGACAGACAGAGTCTACCTTATCCAAGCTGCAAGACTTGAAAGTATATTTGGTAAAGCCTTGCTTCTAGGAGCCTCACGATTGCAAGAACTCCGAAGATACAGGACTCCTGGTCTAGGCGTAGACCTTGCCGACTGTGTTGAAGGTATCTTAAAACGTACGGTAGGTACCCTTCCCAGTTAATGATAGCAAGCCAAACCACTATTCAAGTCGCTAACACCCCCGGAGCCTAATGATACACAAGATTGCAATAGACTCACAGTAGAGGAGATTGATGACACTCTAAACCGTATTGCAGCGGCCTGTCGATTCAGTTCGCCTTCGGTTAGAGCTTCGCGTAGCACTCAAGACTCTAGAGAACAGGATCGATCTCTGGTCACCATTTACAGGAAACTCAGTCCGCGCGATGCAAAATGGTTTACAAGGCTAGTATTAAAGAACTACCAGCCGGTGGTCATAGATGAACGTCTCATATTCCGTTGCTATAATGATCTCCTACCTCAGCTGATGAAGGTAAGGGACGATTTTACCACAGCCACTACCTTCCTACGGCAGGTCAGCCAGCCGTCCCGCGACCAAGCCGTCATTGCCAGTATGCTGAAACCAGTTATCGGGACGAAAGTTGGTCGGCAAACATGGCTCAAAGGGAGAAGTATCAAGCATTGTCTAGATATGGGTAAATCCCGGGATATGAGTTGCGAGCAGAAGATTGATGGCGAGTACTGCCAAATACACATTGATCTCCGCAAACGTTCCCCTATCCAGATATTTTCCAAGAGTGGGAAAGATAGCACCCAGGATCGAATTGGCCTTCATCAGTAAGCCATTGTCCAACCCCCTTTCTTGCCGCTCTATTAACTAAGCACAGGACCATACGAGATTCGTTGAAACTAGGAACACTAGACTGCCCCTTTAAAACTGGCTGCATTCTCGAGGGGGAAATGGTGGTATACAGTACTCAAGTATTATTAAGATGTCATTTGGCTTTAAGAAGTGGACGCTGACCGGAACTTCAGGACAATAAGATATTGCCATTTCATAAAATTCGCAAGCACGTTTCACGCTCTGGTTCTTTTATAGGGACTAGCTATGATTCTCAGTATGGCATGGCGCTTCAATAGTTCGATACACTTAGCTAAATTTGAAATAGGCCTCACGATTACGAGCATTTAATGATAGTATATTTCGACGTACTGCTTATCGACGATGAATCGTTACTAGGAGTCCGACAGTTCGAGCGCTTCAGGCGCTTGAGTGATCTCGTTACTTGTCGGAAGGGTTGTGCTGAGCTAGTACCCCGTGAGACGATATCTTTTGGTCGGCCATCTGCTGCGTTGAGGTTACGTGAAGCTTTTGCGAAATGTATCGTCGCTCGAGGTGAAGGCCTTGTCCTGAAGCCCGATGAACCATACTTCAACTTTAGCACGGCGCAAAAGTCATTCAGCTGCTGCAATATTAAATTGAAGAAGGAATACGTCCAAGGTTGGGGAGACGTCGGGGACTTTTCTGTAATTGGTGCCTCTTACGACGCAGCAAAAGCAAGAGAGTATAAGAAGCCCAATATTAAATGGACTCATTTCTTCATTGGGTGTCTAGACAACAAGGAAAAAGCACGAGCAGGAACTGAAAAGCCTCGATTTATAGTTACTAATGTCATCGAGCTTTCTGAGGCCCTTCTATGGACGGTTATGACTCAATGTTTTCCATCCCCGGTCCCGTTCGATTCAAATGAGTCTATAATTCTGGACTTCAAGCTAGGGAAGGTAGACAAGCGACCAGACGATATATTCTTAGAACCGTTAGTGTTCGACATGCGTTGTTTCTCCTTCGACAAATCACCAAACACGACTTTCTGGAGCATGAGGTTCCCATCGGTCTCAAAGATTCACCACGATAGATCATACTTGGATACTATCAGTTTTACGGAACTCCAAGAGTTGGCCTCAAATGCAACAGAAATACCAGAGCTCGAAGATAGCCAGGAGATGCGCAAGTGGATATCAGCGTTAGAAAAGGCAGACCCAGGAGGAATCGCTGTGGACGTTATCAGCCAACAAAGCAATGGAACTGAACCAAGAACACCTCCAAGGCCATCTTCCGGTGAGACCAGTCACGAAAAGGAGCCCCGAAGCACATCGATGCCGGAATCTTGTAAACGAGTACACTCCCGTGAACAACCCCTGTTGTCTTGTTGCGATACAGTAGAGGCAAGCAGGCACCTAATAGCCCCTTCAAAGCCACCAGCTACTGAAGGTGAAGAGCATTGTACCACTACTGATGTTTCTCCGAAATCTCCAATGCATGCAGGGCGTAAAAGGAGACCTACTTCAGATGCAGTGATGACTCCAAAAAGACCACGTCTATCTCCCAATGAATCTTCTCGGCAGTTACACTCAATAGATAGTCCCAGTGAACTACAACCAAATACTCCAAGGAACAGGCAACCACTTAGCCAGATCGATACCAACCCATCTTTCGGAAATCGCAGGACAAGTTCCCAAACTGAAGCATTAGAAGGATATCTATCTAACTCCCCAGCAGCTCAGCTAGCCGCGTCATCGACTAATAATAAAAGTTCAGCTGTATGTTCTCCTGATGGGCCACCCACCATCTCTACCTTTAAAGTAACTTCTAGCCCTACACAGGACAAACATCTGTCAGGGAAGCGCTTGGCACATAGACATTGCTCCCTCGTCGAGGAGAAATGTGTACTTGCCAACCGCTCTATTCTACTATCGCCGTGTATCGCTCAGTATGCATGGGTCACCGATAACCTATTACGGGACCATGGAGTGGATACCTTCCTAACGGATCCCAAGATGTGGTCCCAGGAACCTACGCCCAGCTTTGCATATAAATGGGATGCCTCGCTAGGGAAGACAAGAAAGTCCCGAGTTCGCAAAATCTGTCTGGTCGAATCAAGACGGGTCGATGCCACATCATCCTTTGTTAAAACCATAGGAGAAGCTGGCTTGAAGAAAAAGAACGGAGAACGCGAGTGGGTGGGCGTTTATGACTGGCGGATACTAGAGGATATCTCGGGTTTAGAGTCTGGGACGACCAAACTAGAAGGGATAGATCTGTGGAGGAAACACTACGTGGCGATTGCATAGGGCGATAGAACTGGTATTATAGGTGCATTGCATTGTGAAGGCGTTTTATCATAGAGCTACGCGTTGCACTTTAGTTACTAAGTATTACACTGGAAAGGAGCACTGCGTTTAGGGGAGCATTGCCTGGGTCCTATGAGATGTGGAATGAAATATCCGGAATAGACGTCTTCTCAAGTTCTTAGAAGGCTTGATCTATGTAGTATCGAAGCAATACCAAATCCAATTTCTAAATCTCTGTTATGTCAACTAAACAGACACGGGAGCTTTATTCGTCTAAATCTGATTTGTTAACATTCTTAAACATTCAAAATGTGAAGTATTTAGAAATGCCAAAGTTTTTAATATGGCATTTACTGCGGCATATATTTGTATTGAATCAGCACTTAAGGGGGGTAGAGTTATATTATCATTATAGGACGCGATACATTCTTAGAATATATCGCTTTCTAGCTTTCTATAGTAGTCTAAATAGCAGGCTCGCGGAAAGAAAGCTCTCCGTACAACTCTAGAATAACTCGTATCAAAATCCGGATTGGCCGGACATGCCCCCATCTAGATCTTTCCAATCAAGAGGTTCTTAATCGTTTCCCGGCCGGTAATGACTACGGTGCGGTACAGAGTCGGTATGTCCAGGGTACTAAACACACCGTCGGCGAAGCCGAAGAACAGCATGGGCGGAATCCAACCACGGGCGTACTCGAGCGCGAAGCAGCTCTCGGGCATCTTGTATTGCTTGACGTCGCCGCGGTGCATGTGGTGCACGCTGCCAGCTGGGTAGACTTCGCGCTCGAACTTGCCGGGTACGAATGCCCACTGCTCGCCCGTTAGGATGTGGAAGTAGTCGTCCGCCGTGTGTCGTCCCGAGTGGCCCTCCGTGCCGGCCGCGGTGCCAAAGATAATTAGGTACTCGGTGATGCCTGAGGAGACGAATTAATATTAAGAGGCTAATGGCTGAAGAGCGACGAGAACTAGAAACTAATGGTTGGAAAATTACTTACTAGAGTGGATAAGGTACATAGCACCCATGGCACCGCCAGCATTGTTAAACATCCATTCCTCGGTGACGTTCCACTTAGGGTTGACGTGCTCCGGGTGGTTCTGGTATAGCTCGGTGACGATATAGTCTACGATCTTGGCGGTGTCGTTGCCATGAGCCTGGATGCCGCGCGAGGCTACGTCTTGCAGCTCGTCTAGGTTGAAGATGTAGAAGTTCTCGAGGTTGCGTTCGAGGAGGTAGACAATCGGGGTGAATATGCCGACTAACACACCGATAATAGTGAGCAGCCTGGCGAAACCGCCAGGAGTTGAGGTATTGGGCGCCATTGCTATGCAATTTAAGAACGGGAAGACACCGAGAACGACAAACAAATAGAAAACAAAACAAAACAACAGCACGCTGACTTTTTAATATAAAGACAGACGTCAAGCTCCTACGACTTAAAACTCGGAAATTTAACGAAGCTAAAAAAATTAAAATGTAATTTATACCTAATAAACATTTTTGTCAGGTTAGGTACCTACGTACTTGTTAAAATAGGGGTCTAAGCTCAGCTCAAAGGTGGGTCCCGGTAAACCAGACTGCCGGATCGCACCATCTCAGGAACACAGCGGTGCGTAGTACCCGGCATCGTATTCGTACTTTTTTATCTCTTATCTAAAGTTTTATCGGCTCACAAGTGCATCTCGGAGCAGATCCAGTCCGTCTGCAACCCGCTTACATCGCCAATCAATCACACCGACGACATTTCTTAACCCGCGCTCCAATTCGAATTTCCGATCCAATAAATATTTTTCCCACTGCTGGCTGTGCCGCGAAAGATGACGCAGGCGGTTGCGGTTGCGGTTCCCGGGCAGCTTCTCGGCCCTGCGGATAAGTACTCCGCGGGCGCCGGGACGCATATCCACGAGGCGAACTTGTACTCGTCGCTGCTTGGCACGGTTGCGGTTGCGCAGCCTGAGAAGGTGCCTGGGCCTGCGAAGAGATTGACGAGGATCGCGGCGTTGGCGGCGGGCAATACCGGCAGTAACAATAACAGCGGCAGCAGCAGCAGCAGCAATACCCTACCCACGATCTCAGTCTCGCGCTCAGGTGTCTCGGAGAAGCGCGAGGTCCTACCCGAAGTCGGTAACGTGGTACTATGCCGCGTAACGCGCATCACGCCGAAGCACGCATCGGTTGCGATCCTCGTCGTCGGCGACACGGTACTCGAGGCCGAGTGGCAGGGCTTGGTCCGAGTGCAGGATGTCCGAGCCACGGAGAAGGACAGAGTCAAGATATACGAAAGCTTCCGGCCGGGTGATATTGTGAGGGCGCAAGTGGTAAGTACATACACACATTTGCATATTTGTCAACAGGCTCTTAGATGAAGAGGATTCATGTCGGCTAATACGTTATGGCAAATACTAGATTTCACTCGGCGACCAGGCTAATTATTACCTCTCGACCGCAAGCAACGAACTCGGTGTCATCATGGCTACGAGCGAAGCTGGAAACCCGATGTTTCCTGTCAGTTGGAAGGAGTATAAAGACCCGGAGACTGGCCTTAGTGAGCCCCGGAAGGTCGCAAAGCCGTTTTGAGCTTCGTGACTACCTTTATTACGGTCCCGAGGTTTAGAACGACCTTATATCACCGGGCACTTCGAGCTGGCTTATGACCCAGAAACTATCGAAATGTCCCTTATGGATTTCCCCCCCAATTCAAATTTCAAACTGGCGTACTCGGATTGTTTCAATCGGCGTTTAAAAGTTACAATCCGCGGCTAGAAGATATCGCCGTGGCGACGCTCTAATGGATACCTATATAGAGGATTATAAGATGGTCTGTCTCTAGTTCTTCGGCTCAAGAGGGATTTGACATCTGTTCGAGCGTATTGGGCTGGACCGGGTATGGATGTTGGTATTATGGCCTATTCCTAAGCTAGGTATATATATGCAGTAGCATGCCGTCTTAATGGTCTATCGTGAGTATTACCCTAGCACTAATTGCAGAACGCACCGGCACTAGCCACGATATAAGCAGCATGAATACACACAAGTACCTTCTGATAGGTTATAAGATAAAAATCCAGAGACTTGGAAATAGGAGACAATCATATGAAACTCGATTGTTTGTGTCGACTAAAGATGTTTCGTCCTTACTAAATATTGCAACGCTCAACGGACGTGCGTATGAACCCTTACTTTGAATCTGAACGATGGGTTGCCGTTTGAAGATGTTTCATAGGGCTTGTTGATCCTCCACAACGTCACGGCCCAATGCGCCTTTGCATAATCGGCTGCGCCACTAGGGCGCAGTATAAATGCCATTGAGTTTTTACGACTTCATTAACGGAATGAAAATATTAAAATTAAGTCGAGGAAATATTATAAAAAATCATTCAGAAAATGTAAAGTAATTAAAGAGGATTCAAGACAATTTACGCGTATAAAGTACCCACTTACCAAAAATACACGCGTAGGTACTTCGTACGTGCAAGACGAATATAGCGAGGCGCAGCATTGCTACTGCAGGGTCCGGTCGTATGTATGTACAAACCCGGTCCCACTACCACAAATAACTTGTCGTCTTATAGGTTAGGTTTAGGTTGTTACCAGCCCAGTCTCGTTCCTGCCCGCAGTATTCCGTATCTCGCATACTTGATCTTGTATCTTGTTGACTACGACCCGACGACGAGGGCAATTGCACGTAAACATTTAATGAAAATCACCTAACCTACCTCTAGGAAAAAGGGCGCCGAGAAATCCAACCGCACCATCAATTGAATATCGACCTCAATCTAAGCCGTTTCATTCATTACCTACCTAACCTAATAACTCACACCTTTTACCCCTCGTACAACATCGATATCTATATCACTAGACTTCAAACCCGAGCAAACGCACTTCGCTATATCTGCCGCACTTCGGAGCAAACACCACCAGCGACATCTCCAGCGAAGCGAGCCTTTTTACCAGACTAAATCCCACATAAACCGCCGGCCGACATGGCCACAATGACAGTGACATTCCCACCGATACCCATATCCAACACCATGACAGCCACCAGCACCAGCACCAGCACCACAACAACGTCCTGCTGCCCGAACTGCGGGCTTTCCCTCCCCCCCGCCTCCGAAGCGCAAATAGCCCTACTTCAAGCGCAAAAACAGATCGAAGACCTAGAGGCCCAGGTGCGCCTGCTCAACCAGAAAGCCACCGCCGCAGTGGACCGATGGGCCGACTACGAAGACGAGCTATCGCGCCTGCGCGCCGCGTCCACGACGTCCGTCGCAACGACCACCACCACCACCAGCAACAGCCCGCGCTCGTCGTTCCTGCCGACGGCAGCATCCGGGGCCGCGGCGCGGATAAGCCAGCTTCTTGCGCCGCGCAAGTCGGTGCCGAACCTAGCGGCGCACGGGGCGGCGCGGGGGTCGATATCGGCGCAGACGTCGGCGCCGGCGATGCCCAACGGGGACGATCTGCTCGAGGCGCTGTCCCGGGAGCGGGATCTGCGGGCTAAGGCGGAAGGGAGGTTGCGGGATACTAGTAGGGAGGTGGAGGAGCTGAGCGCGACGCTGTTCGAGCAGGCGAATGAGATGGTGGCGAGCGAACGGAGGGCGCGGGCGAAGCTGGAGGAGCGGGTGTCGGTGCTGGAGCGTAGGGATGTGGAGAAGAGGGATCGGTTGGATAGGTTGGAGGGTGCGATGGGGAGGTTGGAGAGGGTGAGGGCGTTGTTGGAGGAGCGGTAGGGGGGAGCTGGTTGGTCTGCTGCCTAGGTGTGGGAGAACTATCTACATAGTAGGACGTAGTTTTAGGACGGACATAAGAGAGAAGGTCCCCAGAGTGGATAAGAGTGGATCGGACCGGCCGAGGTACCCGCATTCGTCCGGTGCACTCGTCGAGTCATGTCATGGTCTGCTGGCGGGAGGGATATGGTAATCGGTCACAGGTCACGGGGGTACGAATTTCCTAGTCACACGAGGGTACAGCTAGGCGTACGGATAGGGATACGAATAGGTAATCACGGTTCGTCTCCTAGGTCCATCGTGCCAAGGGAGTTCTGGTAGCCTCGTCATCGTTTGATTTGTATCTGGGTGGTGGTTTTATTCTGTGCCGTTGTTCAGGGGCTCGCGAGGGAATCATAGGATGTACAACAACAAAAGGATTGGTCTATTGCATTTTGCATCTAGGACTTCGGGAGGTAAAAAAGGAAAAGGCATGGTTTGAAACCACTAGATATCTAGTTTGTATAGTTTTTAGTAATGAGGCGGGTGTATACCTGAGGCCCTTACTTCGTTTAGGATCGCCTGTTCCTCGCTTGGTGTAGGGACGCAGTTATCATGATAAATAGGAAGGAGAGTCTGCTCCAATAAGAGGTATGATTGCAATCTCTATCCCACTCTATGTCAATGAACCCTTTTTAAAAGTAGTAAATTAATGATAATGACTTACTATCTAATATATGTACCTACCTAATGTTTCTCCTAACTAAGGGGAGCTTATACTACCTTAGGAGATAGCTTCTCTTACGTATGACCCCAGAATATGACAATATCTTTGTTATATCAATGCTACCAGAGTGACATAGATTGCATGTAAATTGAAGAGATATTAATTATAAGTGTCATGTGTCTAGAATAAGCGGAATGATGGCGTAGTCACTTGCTCTTCCTCCTAGTGCGAGTATAAGCCATGACGATAGTATGCATCCCACTTTCTAAACTTCACCTGTTACTTGAATTTAGTCTTCTTTCTTTCCTTCGGTATTTTTAATACATCTAACACACATATATCCATCTATTTCCTTTAATACTACATGTAACTACATCTTCTTAAAGCCACCAGCTATGAAATATGAAACTCACCTGATCGTTAAAAACCCCTCTACCTATCTAACCTAAACTAAATGACTGCAATTTTCGATCATACACTCTTTCATATAAAATTACACGACACTAATATGAATCACTATTTTTCTTATTTAATTAAATGGCTTAAATCCTGCACGGGCAATTGCGGATTCAAGTAATAGCTTGGGCCGCTCATGCAGTGGCTTTATGCCGTGGGGTTGAATAGGGAAGAGCAGACACGGCTCGCCGTATCTTCTATTCGTTACCTACGACGCCGTATGGGAGAATTCCTGTGCGTTTGCAGTTTTATTATCCAATCCTAATCTACTTGTATGTCTTGGTCGCGTAAGTATATGCCTACTCTTCGATGATTTAATAAAGTATTAAAAGATGGTCAGTATACGGTAAATCCTTGTAGAGTTTTCTATCTTTCTCTCATCACTTCTGTCTTAGAGTTTTCTCTTATGTATATGATCTAACCATGACCCTAGAAGAAATATCAAATATCCTAGCGATAATTGTACCGGTGCTTCTTGCCGCTATCTTTACCTATATATGGGATATTTGGGTCATCACGACTTCCTGACCTTCCTATCGTTGGTGCGAAACCCGGTGAATGGTTCCCGCTCACGAGGGCCAAGTGGCGGAACCTGAAGGACACGAAGACGGCTGTTGAGTTTGCGTACATACGATGCGCGAGGAACACAAAACCTGTATACTGCCTGTCGCCGGCGTTCATGACCGTAAGTTGAATCAAGAAAACTCCCTTTCCCATTTCGCCTTGTAGCTAGCCCGCCTCGAAAACTAGAGCTTTCTAGTTGAGCTAAATAGGGGCTATTCCTTTTAAGACGAAGAAGTCAGCACTAATTGCCACCCCTATAGATGTCCTTTTGCCTGCTAGCGAGTTCAAATGGCTTGTCAGCCAGCCTGAATCTGATGTCGACTACCGCGTGGAAGACGAAGACCAAGTATAAACACTTTGTATATGATCGTAGTTAAAACGCACCAGCACTAAGTATATATCCAGTTTGAACATATTTTGTTTCTAAATCAGCGCCTCCTCCGTACCATCCTTCGTAACCGGCTCATTTCTACGGTCCTAACTAGGGAAACTTACAACACAGTCCCAGCTCTGCTTGACGAGATACGGTTCACTGTGGATAGCCTCTTTGGAACAGACACTGAGAACTTCCATGAGATTTGCATGCGCAGCATGGTACAAAATGTCTCATGCCAGGTAATGAATCGTGTCTTCGTTGGCCAATCCATAAGCCGCAGTGCCAAGTTAAGCAACGCAGCTATTGCGTACATGACAAATATACCGACGGTCTCGAGAACAATACGCTTCATATGGAGGCCGCTCCAGCCACTTGCCGCCTTGTTCCTCACCTTACCGGCCCGCATCCGTACCTGGAGGATCTATGATATTCTAGGCCCAGAAATAGAACGGCGGTTAGCGGCAGCCGAAGCAAACAGCGTCGACCCTGAGCTCGAGGCTACAGAGAACGATTTCTTGCGGTGGATCATCGATGATATGAAGCTGTCTAGTGACCCGCACTGCTTTAAATTCGAATATGCTGTTCGGTTATATTTTGGCCTTCAATCTCGTCGCGATGAGTACGATATCAGGCTCTATGACGCATGCGATCATGGACCTGGCGTGTTCCAAGTACGAGTACATTGATGAGCTACGCGTCGAGATTGCATCCGTAATAGCCAAAAATAGCGGCAAATTCGATAAGCGGGCGCTGGCATCTATGGTGAAGCTTGATAGCTTGATGCGCGAGTCGCAGCGCATCAACACGCTTACGACATTTTCTGCTCCCCGCTTTGTGATCAAGAAAGGGGGCATCGAGACGCCGTCAGGCATTCACGTTCCACAAGGCGCAGTCCTGGTCGTCCCGACGTACTCGATTATGCATGATGCCGCCATATATCCGGATCCCTATACCTTCAAGCCGTTCCGGTTCGCAGGGGAACCCACTGCGCCTGATTGGGAAGGCGGCAATAGCAATACTCAAGGATCGCCGCCGCCGACGACTCCCCGGCAGATGCCGCAAGCTTGGGTTAAGGTAGCCCCCGAATATGCGTCATTCGGGTACGGGCCCCACGCATGCCCAGGACGTCATATCGCGGCCGTCGGGGTGAAGCTGATGATGGCGTATATCATTGCTCATTACGACTTCGAGATGCAAGGCAAACGACCGAAGAACATCTGGTCCGGGTCTGTCCTATTGGGGCCGCAAAGGACGACGGTCCGGATTAGGAGGAGGAAGGAGAAGGATATTGTTTTTGCTTGATAATAAGGCATAAATAAACCTTAGTATTATCGGCAGTGTATGGATGGATATATCAGCCGTGGGTGACTATAGCCTGGAAAGTTGACTATTGAGCTCTTCTCTTTCCTTATTGCTTTATTTTCGGGTTTTGCTATAGTGGACTGATGATGAATATTTGAAGTGATGGTACATACGAATCATACGTAGGTAGGTGGAAGATAAAGGGATGGTGGGATAGGCAAGGCGGGCTTATAAGAGCATCTCTACTAACGATCGTTATTATACTGAACATGTTGAGGGTAATTACTGAGGTTATTGACCAGCTCTGCAAGGTTGATAAATGAACTGTAATATTTGGTACTCCTTTAGATTGCTTGTATGTAGCCTTACCTTTTAGCTGACAATCATTACAGTCTTACCCAATGCTATTAATGTCGAATTTAGCTTCTCGTGAGCTATGGAGTGTCTGTTTATGCCGTATAATAACGAGCTCCGGTGTGTCTGCTTACAGGCTTTGCAATACATACTTTGAAATCCGTAGTAGAGTATAAAGATCGGTACTAACGACTCCCTACCTACGTCCACCGGTCACTAGATACCAAGAGAAAATAGACCCATACCTGCAAAGGCTTACCTTATCCTAAACTGTCTGGTTGATAGTTGCCAGATAACACCAATACTCCAGGTAGCGACTTAAATATGCCACTAACAAGACATTCTTCTATCCACGGTCAGTACTTCGATTCCAAAATGACTATTGGTCTAGGTCTACCTAGTAGTTGCTGAGAGGATGGGCTAGAGATAATTCTTCGGGGAGGGTTTCGTAGAACTTGCGCTTTGAACATGGCAGGGCGACAAGAAGGCCAACTTGTTAATATGTTATGAATGCGGCAGAACGTTGGTAGATCTGGCTTCTTTGACATTCTTTTCTTCTTTTGGGTGGTTGGGTGGTTGGGTGGTTGTAATTTGTTTCCCTTTATCGTTCCTTCTTCTCTCTCCTTTTTTTCTTCTTTTTCTTTTTTCTTTTCCTTCTCTTTCCCCCCTGGGTTATTTTTACCTTCGTTGCGATCTTAGGATTTGAAGCTTTCTCGCACTTGGAGTCGTTATACTACTGCTTATTAGCTTCGCGGCTAAATGTCTCGAATAATTCTTCGTAGGTAATTGAGGCGTAATGAGGCTATCGATATGTGGTTTCTATAGACATGTTGGGATCGTGGCCGTATACGTTCTCGGGGTGGGTATTCTCGGGCTACTCATATGAGTAGGTAGATAGGAGAAGCTTTAGTGGCGAATATTTAATGCATAATAGGCGAGAGATGGACTCCGCGGTCGTCCTCCGTGTCGATTATCATCCGGCTTCTATTGACATAAATTCATCTATAGGTAGGACAAACATGCTGAATAATTAATCAGGTAGGAGCATAATCAGGGACGTTCTTCCAGGTGTGTAATAGTAGCATATCAGGCACCCTGTGTCGCACGTGTGTTAGCAGAAAGCAACGTTGTGATGTAAATTTCGGTATTTGCTCTCGACTCACAAAGTGCTACCTACCTACATACGGATCTCCGTTCTTCTGGTAGACCTATGCACCACATCCATCATGTCTACGTCAGATATTTGTTTGCTTCCGAACGTAGTGTAACGATACACGGCAGAAAGCAGCCGAGTATAGCAGGAAATGTTGGGGCGAAGGCTGAACGGGGGGGACTGTTTGTCTGTCGGCCAAGGCTCGGTCGAGCAACTCCGCAGCTTGGTATAGATGGTGGGAGGATAATGCTACGCCGCTATGCATGTGTGTTCTTAGAATCGTTCCATGGTTTCTCTCGAAGCAGACTGTTAGCAGACTGTTAGGTTAGGCGTGTACATGAGACGATGATAGGGATACTTCGAGGTGTTAGTAGACGAAGGGGATCTGTTCGGCCTAGCTAAGTCTACATTCGCTAGTGTAGCTGCATTGTTACAGAGCTGGATTGTCCTAACGCAGGAACTATTGCCGCTTCTAGAAAACAACCTGTTACGGCAGGGAGCGACAGGCATCGAGGATGGGGGAGTCGATTTTTCGATACCCTTGACGCAGCAAAACAGTGCTGTAACCACGTAGTCCTAGGCAAGTGCTTCAAATCCTTTAAAGAACAAGGGGAAAGAAGAAGATTCGTCGATAAATTCTGGAGAGACACGTTTTAGATTCCCCAGCGTACCATTGTTTGGTTAGAGCGTATCACTGATCTCTCCCCGACCCTGGGGGGATGAAGTACGGTACCAAAAGCGGATAATACTCGATGACTTCAGAGCCAGCCAAGACCCCCCAAACCATGATCTTTTATCTTGGGCATTAAGAATTTAGGGAAACAAACCAACTGAGACCGTTCCCAGGGTTTTAGTAAGATCAACAACGATTCGTCCCATCCCCATCCCCATCCCCATCCGCCCTGCCAGCCGCAACCCCCCAAAGGTCCCAGCTTATACTCTCTTTCTACCGGTGGCTGCAGTGCTATGTAACAAGAACGGGCTATTTCCCTACCAATCGATGCATATATTCTCCATTAGGGTTTAGGGGGGCCCTCGGAGCGGAGCCTGCCTGCTTGGATTGACAGGGGCTGTTGGCGTGATGGGGCTAGCGAATACGAGATTCTGGTCACCACCAAAGATCGTCGGAGGCTGGGGGTTGGACGAGCAGGTAACAAGCGTCAAAATAGGTCTGTAGCACGGGAAACTATAATATTCATCTGCTGTGTAAAAAAAAGTCGGCGAAATAGGAAATTCTTTGATTAAATTGAGTATAATGTTGACAGGTATGGAATGTGTTTCTCGCCCCCCTATTTTGACTCAGTATTTGACTTAGTACTTACTGGGTCCGCCGACAACAAGCCGGTAGATTTTATACGACGCAGTAGAAGCTGTCTAGCTTGTCCACATATGCATTGCCTATCTGCAGGTGAGGTGCGGCATCACATTGGCAGTGTCCTTATGGTGACAAGGATGGATCATGCAGTTTGTACATATTTGATAGCTTGTACCTACCGTCAACCAGAGCGAACGGTACTTGGCCCATTATTCATCAGCCATGGGGAGTTGTTACAACTAGTTGATCCATCGAGACAACTACTGCTTCCTACTAGCCGTCGTTAGCTCCTCGTGCCATATTCTTCCGGTATCTTGCGAAGACGGCCGTATCTATCCCTATATGGTAGGTATCAACTCGAGTGGACGTGGTAGAGAAGCTATACAACTCTAGGCTTGAAGGTGGGCTATGTAAATAGGCTATGTAAAAGCTTTAGTTTCGGAGGTCGAAGTCGATCTGACCTGTCTTAAAGGGGGAGGAGAGAAATGCGGGTGTTGATAGCATCATATATCGACCCCTGAGCAAACATGGGTTCACTTCAGTTAGGAGACAGAGGACATCTTGGGCGCTAATCATCGTGCCATAGCGGCCTCTAGATCGTCATGATCAGGTTGACGTGAGAGGCGCGCGTAGATATGTGATCGCAGAAACACTACTGCACGGACGGATTATTGTAGCCATTCCAAGGCCTAGCAAGGGACGCCATGGATGGTGATTGTTCACAGTGTCTAAAACAGAGCCTATGTCGTCTTGTAAATCGGGCATTTGTATAGCGTTCTAGAGCCGTATACTCAACTGGTTCGGATGAAAAGTGCCGCAGGACTGAGCTGTGCAGCAATAGTCCTAGCAGGTACGCGCTCGATTTTTTGGGTGGGTTGATCCCACGCCTCCCCTATTCCCCTACCTAAGTATTAGCGAGCCCGATAAGCGAGAACATACTTCCTGAATGAGGCATTAGCCGTCGCCCAATTGGAATCTTGCCTCAAGTTCAATGTAAGGGCACATAGTCCATCTAGGTCCTGTAGATTGCTTTAAGGTCTGGAACTATGTATCTGCGTAAGGCCTATACATCTCTCACAGTGTCTATAGATATAGTCTCGTTCTTATTCCCATTTCTGCTGCTTTAAGGAGTGAAGATGCCAGCAGCGGGCTTGCTTCGACGACTAAGAGAAACCTGCTCGTGCCGAGGATATTATCGGCACAAAGGGATATCGTAGCACGGTTATACCCGACGAGGCGTTTCCGCCACGGTAATGAGTCGTGGGCGGCTCCGAAAGTCCAGACGCCGAAACGGCGGTATCTTAGAAGAACCTGGGCCCTTTCCGCCGTTCTCTAAACTTCTGCCACCTCACGACCACGGCGAAACACATGATATCACAAGCTCGTGGCCTTCCGACAACGTCGGGGATCTAGAACGCAATCCATGTGACATAATAAGCCACTTCCCACAGAATAGCATCCGATAATTGCTACAGTATTGCGCGCTTGACTAGCGGCGTGGCGATTTGTGGCAAGTCGTTCGAGTGTAACGTCTCATAGGGCTGCATAACCCCTCCTCTTATACCTTAGGTAGGTAATGATCTAATGATGCTTTGTTGATGCTGTGACATAATGGGACGACAACTCACCTAGGTAACATGAATGGGATGGCGTTCTGAGCTAAGCTGAAATGCGCCTCCTTTCTGATCAGCGGTAATGCGAAAATAATAAAAGGTAATCTAAGAATAGATAGCCTCGTAGCAAAACCTCGTATAACGCGGCTGACCCCTGGCCATCGCGTCTAATTGGTCGCTTAGCTTAGGATAGCTTTCTTATATTATGACCATCTGATAATACCGGTGTCAAGCCTAATTAGGGTCCGGCCGCTTAGTCTTGCTCAGCCTCCTAAACCCGGTTGAAATAATGCTATTGATGCTTGTGAGTAGTAGAAATCTAGAATGAAGAGTAGTGTAAGACATACCATGGCGTGTGACTTGCAATACTTGACCACCCTGGCGCGTTCGGGTCGACTTGTAGGATGTCCGGGCCGCTCAAGGGTAAGAAGAGTACCTGACCTAAGCAAAACCCCCAAGACTGACCGTCTGAGACATGACGCGGCTCGTCCCGGCTCCAATGACGAGGTGGCATTTCTAGGGTTAGACCTGAATGATAAGCGAGTTTAGGGGACTGGGTTAAGGCCGGGGATATTTCGCGACTGACATAGAATTTACTCGGATCGTTTCCGAGTACGCGATACGTAGAGAGGTACATACTAGGTTCACTACCTAATGTTAGGTACTCCTTACCGATTTATAGCGAAGCCACCATAAACACCAATTGATAGGTAAAAACTATAGTCCAAAAATATGAATAGGCAAAAACGATATTTGGTATTAGAAGCACCGCGTTTCCTTGTATTACAATTAATATTAGTTATCCGCGAGTGAGCGAAACTACGCTGCCATCTGCGAGCACCCAAGTCAGACCAGACGGTCGGCTTGTTGCTGCGAGTATTAACCCTCATGCCTTCCAAGCCATGGAGCAACAAGCGATAACTATATGCTCCTGTATCGAACCTTTAGTTCGTACGCCTCCTCCAATACCGAATTCGCTTCGGTATCAATCCAATTAGAATAACGCCATTAACTCCAAATATTCCTTTTTCGCAACAGCTCCATGGCCTCTGTTGCTACTATGCCGCTCTTGGATCTTCAGCATCCACTCCTAAACCCCACCGTGATCTTCTCTATTCCAATAAAAAAAACATATCCAAGAAAAAAAAAATCAAAAACAAGCAATTAACGCCGTCCCAATGCATATGACAGACCGCCCGTGAGGTCGTCAGATTTTTGTGCCCGGATGAAGAGTTGTAAACAGTCGCTATGCAATTTGGTCGAGGGTAATGTGCGGGGGTATCCTATTGGTTTAAAAACAATGCATTTCCAAAGGGAGCGGCTGAGATTCTATTTCAGTTATATAGAAATCGTCGTGAGTCGTAAGGAATGTAAATGGTCGGTCTATATAATGCGGTATCTTGCGAAAGGAGTGTCTATTTTGGGTATCTTCGATGGTATCATAAGGAGTGTCGTAAGCTTGTTCATTATGCAATATGTATTATGCGTTTCGTGTAACATAAGGATCGTGGGTATCATTGTGTCGATGTAGACATGTATGTGTATATCTTTGAATCCAGTCAAAGGAGTGTGGTGTACAATTGCGTCTGTGGTAAAGTCGGAAAAAATGTATTAAAAATTTGGGTCGGGAGGAATCGGGCTTCGGGTGGTGTGGACAGTAGTCGTCGAGATGGTTTCTGTCACTCCTCGTGTTCTCTTTTGAATGGTACCGGGGCTGACGATACCGAGGAATTTTGCCGATGATGGTGATGCTGGAACATTTGAGGCGTCATGAAGCTGGGTGACGGCGCCGATAGAGAAAGAGGAGTAGTCGATTCCATGGAAGCTCCGTGCCACTGGTCGGGTTTGAGAAATGGTGAAGGTGCATAGTCCTGCTGCTGCATTGGAACCTCAAACGGGAGGTAGTGTGAAGACGAAGATGCTAGATGCTGCGTATTGGTGTTCCTGAGCGGTATGGTCAATCATTTTTATCCTCTTCCACGTCAAAACGGAGAGCCAATGTGGGACTTCAGAGCTTAGATCCACACGGTCTGGATTGGAGAGACGAACCCGACACCAAAGTTGCTGGGCCCTACAGAGCCAAGAGGCGGATAGGCCGTCATCCCAGAATCCCATGAGCCAAATTCATCGTGGTCGCTATATGCAACGGAACCCTCTCCGAATGTTGAAGACACCGGGCTGTAGCCTCCGTATGAGGGCGACGGAATATTGAGGTACTGCTGGCTCGGAAACGGCGAGGAAATGACCAAAGGACTAACTGCGTTGCCAGACTCCTGCTCGGGACCCATCACGGAAAGATCCTCAGTACTCCAGCTGAACGCCGGATTGTCCCCGTAAGGCAGATACGAGGCTGTAGAAGGGGGAGTACCTTGCATGACGTCCTCGCTCATGTAGAAGTTGGGCGGGTCGAATTGCGGGAATGACGGCGTACGAACCGGTTGGACCCAACCCATGCGAGACCGGAATTCGTTAACTGTATCAATGGGGAATTCCATGAGCGTAAGCGGTGTCTGCGAGTCTCCATCGAGGCTTCCAGAAACGTTGATCGAGAGCAGTCGTCGGGCAATTTCCTCTACTGGTCCGATGGCGAGACTACCGAAGTATGCGGCGCCAATCTCGGGGAAGAGGCGTTCCATCATGATCGCAGCAGTGTAGTAGTGCGCAACAACGACCAAGGCACTCGGAGACGTGCCGTTTTGCTTGAAGCACATCACAGGAAGCCAGAAGAGCCAGGTGCGGAGAGGCCGGAGTCGATCAAACTGATCCTCAATCGACTGAATCGGACTGACTTTGCGAGCACCCTTAAGGAAGCATACCAGCTGGGTCGCCAGTTGAGGGTCCTCCTTGTTTTGCTTCAGGTGAGCTTCAACCTTGGTGATCTGGTTAATGGTGCGCTGGAACGCATCAAGATCCTCCTTCCGCGGCTGATGAGGCTTGTGATCCGGAGTCGGGGACGGGGGCGCAGTAGGGAACGTGCTGCTTTCAGCAATGAACTCTCCAAATTGGGACTCGTGCTTCCAGGGTTCCATAGCATCGATGACCTTTAAATCCTACTGTTAGTACAACAAATGTATTTCAGGTGACAGACTTGTACTTACGGACGAGGTCCCTTGCATCAATTGGGTCCAGCTTCGCCTATTATTTCTCCGGGTTAGCCTTTGCTTCTCGGATACATGCATTTTATTGCCTACCAATCTGTCGCCTGCCACGAGAGCACGAGCGAGGCAGCTAGAACGGCGTCTGAGTTTTCACGTGAGAACGATCCAATGGCTTCCTGTAATCCCTTGAAGGCAACACCGCGATGCTCGTAACCCATGCTGCCCACATGTGGACAGTTTGTCAAGAAAGCGATGTGCTCGGCCGAAAAGGCGAGTAGAGCATGCATAACGTAGCTATGGGTAGCACCGATTTTAATGATTCTAGACGCCACGAGTCAGCGCGGTCACTTTTCAAATTAAGGAGAAAAGACATACGTAGGAATCTGACGGGTCCAAAGGGTAAACCCGTTAGCATCCATGGCACTCATCTCATTGCAGATGGCAGCGACGTGGAAAATCAGCCTAAGATCTTCAACAGAATAGTACTGAGGTGCCGGTGCTGGGTAGATATTAAGGCTCGGGAACGGGAAAATTCCAGTTCGCTGCCACTGCTCGACGGCGGCCTCAATCTCAGGGGTCCACATCAGATCGGGCTTGTCGGGAGTTGCCGCCCTTTCATCAGGAACAGGCACATCGTTGTACGGGCATCGGACCTTGTGCTTGGTACAGTTACGGCTACTCAGGGGTCAGCAAGCTGCATGCGTCTCTAGAAGGATTATACGGACCATTGGGGAAAGTTCTCATCACATCGGATATGCCGACGTTTGCTACAAATTAATTAGTTCCCGACTAATAAGACCGCCATAAGTCAAACAAAGCATACCAATTATCGCAGCCCTTGCGCGACTTAGTGTGACTAGAATACAGCAATCAGTACACCGAGCATTAAAAAGTTCAGTTTGCTCAGGGGAACAAACCTGCGTCGCGGAGGACCACCACCTGGGCCAGCCATTGTAAAAGCTGTATTAGAATAATTAAGTAAAACGAAAGAACTAAGACACAATATTAGTACCGGCACCGAGGCATCCGTGTCCGGACAGGCGGCTCCGAAGGGCGTAATTCGAGCCGGCCAGGAGAATAAGAACGTACGTGAATTAGGGCACAAAATATCTTCGTGCCGGAAGCGAGTGAATAGGGTTCGGATTGGCGTTAATCAACTAGACCTGGGCGATAGATCGGAGGTAGATGTATATATATATGCCTCCTCTTAGACGTTCTTGATTAAGTCGAGAGTAACAGTTACGCCTATATCACGACATAGACCAAGTGTGCTGCGTTGTCTTAAAACCTCTTAACGATTTGAGGTTTCTCGGGGTTCGTGGGATCTACACAGGGTGCGCACACACACACACACGAGACAGATCGAGACAGATGCGGGATGTTGTTGATAAGCCTGGTATTGTATGGTCTTTGCTGGTCGTTTCCTTCCAGGTGTTTTAAGCGATTGAATATATATTCTCGAGACTCGGAGTACTAGTCAACCGGAACAGGCTATGCGCGGTGTCAAGTGATTCTTATCAGCGGCTTTATGGCTTTATGGGCTTGAGTTGACTGAGTTGACTGAGATGACACAGCGAGACGAGTCGGGTTCACGATTTTGACGGTGGGATCCTTCGAGTACAAATCTCTAAACACACAAAAAAAGGAAAAAGCGAATGACAGGAGCCAACGAGGACTTCCTAAAGGGGAGGTGAGGTAAAGCGAGTGTGTGGTTGAGATTAGAGCAAAGCTCAGGTTTAAATTCGATGATGATATGGGAAGACTAACAGAATGGAGAAAATCAATGGGGGACTGGAGGGTTGTTAAATAACTAAACTACCCGGACGACGACGTTAGGCGCAAGCTTTGGTGGGCTTGGTGGGCTTAGGCGGATGTACACCGTGCCCGGTACCAGCTTGTGACTGTCCTACTTTCCGGAAGAGGAAAATACAGTACAAGGAGTACATCCACAGCGGACTTGCTATGGCGCTTGTTATGGTGGGGGCGGCGGGAGCCTGGGTGCTAATGGAACACTATGGTTTAAAACCGTTCAAAATCATTCAAGTACCTCTCTACAGTACGGATTACCGTTACTTAGGTAGTTGAGTTACTGTGGGGGAATAGGTACATACCACATGCACAATACCTCTACAAGGACAACCAGGTCGGTACTTCCACCAGGTTAGGTACATGGTAACGTACATATGTAGGTTAGGTACAACTTAGGGCATTACATTATGTACCTAAGGCATATACATGTAAGGCATATACATACATGTAGGTGTATGTATATGCCTTACATAGGCTACTGGAAGGGGGTTTGAGCGCAGTGATTGAATAACAAAACTCAATTCGAGTGGAGGTCATCGCTATCGATCTATGCTACTATAATGCTACTACATGGCACGCCGTTGGCACCGAGGAGCCCGGCATCTTGGGTACTCGGTGGATGGATCTGTTGTGCACACTAACAGCGGGCTGTGCACAGAGCATTTTGGCATGCTGGAGCGAAAAAGGTGGTGGGAAAGTCAAGCGACCTTGCGACCTTGCGACCTTAGCTCTTAAAGGATACAACGGCAGCGTGCTACAGTATATATATATTTCTCTTACACACTGTACAAGATGCTATCTATTACTGCGTTACTTGCTATTAGTCCCGGCACTGGCACGGATGTGTGTGATGCGAATCATCGTCAAGAGGGAGTGGGTTGAGGAGTAACGGGGTGTAAGAGGTGGTATCGTCCGCTAAGCTCTCACCGTTCCATGATCTCAGTAAGATCCCTGTCAATGGACATCTACGTACAGGTATACATAAGAGGTAGCATATGCTTCTAAACCTTTCTTGGCTTAGGGACGACGGAGGCGAAGCTAACTGCTCGGCCCCATCGGACAGGATCCTCTAGCTCAACTGGGCAGTGGTCAAAGTCAGCAGCTGCATCGACCATGTCCTGTCGCGCTATCCCAGGGCATATCCAGGGCATTCTCCTGCGTGTGCCGAGTTTGGGCTGGCATCGTCCCATCATCCATCCCATACGCAACCCGGTCTCTGACGCCGAAAGACGAAAGATAGGGCGGCGGACGGCGGCGATAAAGTCTACACACGTGTAGTCGCTCGAACGGCGTCTTATATCCTAAGGATTTTCTGACATATCTTCGGAGCTTTCTCGTTGATTCTGTGCTGGCCATGCGACATTTAGGTAAACTGGACGAAGCCCGAAGCCCACGACTGGCTGTTGGACATGTCAGCGTGGCGGGGCTGTTAAGAATCTCCGACTCCACTGGGATTACAGAACGGCCATATTGGATGAGATATTGTTATGCGAAAAGATCCAGTAAGCTTTAATATGATGACCTGTGATCTTGTAGGAAGCAACGGGTCTCACTAAACGTGGCGGCGCGATAAATATTGTTAAGAAGGTAGATAGAGTCAATAGTTCACCCATGATGCTTTTAACTGCAAGACAACCTTGACGGCATGCTAGCTTCTGTCAGCATGGTGTGGTGGCATGCATCAGCGCCGGCCTATATTGAAGCCTAGGTTAGTCTGTAGGAATCAACACATAGGCGTATATATCTTCCATTGGGCGTATGATGTCTCTATGCCACATGCCGGCATGCTTCAGATCCTCTAAAGGACGAACTAAGTCATCTGGTACACTAGCAATCCCATCATAATACAAGGACCGCACATGATACAGTAGGCCACTGTGTTTGGGAGAAAACCAAACTATTACCTCACGTCCAATTCCGTCGCACCATATTAATTACCTCCGAGGCATGTCCAAATAGTCCTCCGCGTGTGTAAAATTTAAATAGCTACCAGGTACCTACACCTAAGGTATTGATAAAGTAACATATTTGATAAGTGGCGATAATACACCCAGTGATCCGATAAATCAAAGAATTCCGGTCTTTGTGAGATACTCGGGCTAGCTGATAGACAAAGCAGATAATACCCCTATGACCAAGTAACTGCTTCATAAGCCAACCGGATCTTACCCGTACATACTAAAGGGGGGAGTTAATCCAGAGATTGTGATAAAGAGACAGCGGTTTCAGGTGAAAGAACGGGCACCCAAGCCTCATTGCATTAGTTGCGGCTTGGGGATTATGTCTTGGACCCGTGGCTAAAATCTTTGCGTCCCCTTCAACACACGGGGACTAATAAGATCCCGATACCGGTAGTAGAAGTTCGCGAAGAATAATTAGCTAATATTTTTTTTCTAGCCAGGTTGCCCGTGGCAGAATAACTACAGAAATATCCTTACACAATGTATATCCAATCAACAGACATGGTCTATCCCTGTGTATGTAAATGGGGCAGGGAGAAAACTGCCTATACCTATGTATACTAAGCATAGGTATCTATCATCGAACGGAATTAGCCTTAGCAACGTCATATTGACCTTTTCATTTCCTCAAAAGGTCGAAAGTGCCGGCCGTAGATCCACAAGGCGACAGTATTTATCTGTGCGCAACGCCGAGTTACATCTATCCCAAATGGTTTAGAGCGCCGAGATCACGTACGTATGTATCGGAAGAACCCAGGTCGAGTTTAAATTGTTCGCTGTCAAAGTCAGGAACAGAAATATAAAAGGAGAAGTTGAGCTCCGAGCCTCCGTCCGCTCGCCCAGCTCGACCCACAATCTACAAGCATTGCGACTGCCTTAGACCATAAAAACATGCCGATTAATAATTTGGACTATCACGCCAAAGCCCAGATCCCTACTGTCTACGGAGTACATACCCGAACGTTTAGGTCCCGCTCCGGGCGGAGCATCCACAATTCTCGGGGGACGGGGCAGCAGCTACACATTTTGCCAAGAGAGCCTTGTTGAATTTTCATTGCGATTTAGTAAGACCTCGGCAGGCTAAAATAAGGAGGAAGGTGAGCCATGATATAATAATACTATCCTATTTTGAAAAGTTCGGCCCTGTCAGTTACATTAGTAGATTAGATACCCTAACTTACCTACCTAGTACCTACCTAAGGTAGTTTGATGGCATCAGTTATACGCTACTATAAATCCCATCCCCACTCGCGGAGTGCTACATAGGTAGATAGGTCGAGTACGGTAGAAAATAAATAAACTTATAGTAAGCACTATTTATCCAGCATCTTTTTCGCGCATTATCGCTCATCGCATTCCTACAAAATGGCACATTCATCATCGTGACTTTCCCATGGTGTTCCCATGGTTGATGGGGGAGTTTGGCAGGGGTATTCTGCAAAGCTCGATCTGAGGGAGACAGGCTCAACGTCGGTTGGCTGAAACAGCAGTTTCTCGTGTCCATTTTTGGAGCCAATCTGAAGTGGGTTGCATACCCAGTCAACCCAGATAGGCTCGTCGCGGAACGTGTGAACCGACAAGGACCCCAGCCTGCCGCCCTTATTTACCCCTGTCTTGCCCCGGAGCCCTGAGTCCTGAGTCCTGAGTCCCTGACGTTTTCCACGTCCTTGACTATTCCGAAGAGGAAAGAGCCCTCAATCAGTAAAGCGCCTCGGTCAGCGGTGAGGAATCGAACCATATTGCTTCTAGAGTACCCACTCGCTCCGACGTCTTTTTCACATTGATTGATTGGTGAATTATCGCATCCCCTTCGTAGCACAGCCTCATTTTTCAAGCCCTGAATGACCGTTTCGCGTGGGAGGGACGTTTACGCCAAAATCGCTGACGCCTCAAAGGGACTTGGAAGATCTCATGCCCCTGAAATGATAGGTCGACGGGTCCGGCAGCTGAGGTTTACGTGATCATCGATGCCGAGACCCGACACCACAGGTGCAGCACCACCAGACCCATAATCGACGATCTTCAAAACATCCAGGGCTCAGATCATTGAGCTCGACTCCATTGCAATTGCAACACAGGCAGTGGTATACATATACTACACACATACCCGCACAATAACAGTCGTGTAACGTGCAACTTTTTGATGCTGCTATTTTTTGTTGAAGCCTAGCCAACCCTTTTG